GTGGGCCCAATCTCCATATCTTTCCCTTCCGGCCTGTGATCCATTCCCTACAGTATCTGATCCTGCTTGGTCTGATCCATGCCTTGTGATAAGGCACTGGTGCCTAAGAGTCCAACCTCTACAGCTGGGTTAATGGTCCTGTTATTCCCCTCGACCCCCACGTCCTTGTGCGAGTCAGGTTTTAGTCTTGTGAGGCCTCCTTTCCAGTCTTTCCATTCTTGTCCTCCATCAGATGGAACTCGTGCTGCCGAGGCTGCAGATGGCTTCATAGTGCTGTGCTTTAACCCCTGCACCATCAGGGAGGCCACAAGCCTTGCTTTTTTATTTTTTTTAAAAGATTCATTCATTTATTTATACAAGCACTAGGTACAGTCAGAAGCGCGGGAGGGTGAGAGAATTCACCAGAGCCAGAGCAGGGAACAGAACAGGCAGACCGATGAAATACACTGCTGAGGGGAGCAGCGGGTGGCAGGAGAGGTCTGCTTCACCATGTGGGACCCTCGCCAGCGGCTGGGGATTGAACCAGCACTGCAGAGGCTGTGGGCAGCTTTGCAGCCCAGTGCTCAACCGCTGTGCCACCAGGAGAGGCCCCACAAGCCTTGCTTTTATGTCAGCTTCAGGTAAGGGGGTTTTTAGCAATGATTAAAAAAAAAAGTCTTTCCCAGAAACTCAAGCAACCTTGTTTGCTGTTTTAATGACTTGCGGATATTTTAGGGCCTTGCTGCAGTGGACACTGTCAGTGAAAGGCTGGGAGTCCTGGAGCCTGCAACAGACCCACCTGTGACTCCTGCCTCAACCTGTCTGCCTAGCCCACTGTGACTTGTTCACTAGCTGGAGTTATGTTGGGTCAAGGCCTGGGGGTGGACTAAAAGTTTCAGGGAGTGACTGATGGACTTTCTCTGGCCAGGAGCCTGACTTGTGCACCCCAGAAGACCAGGTGAGCTCTTGGGAGTCTCCTGCTTCTCTGCCGTCTGCTTGCCTTAAGGTGTGAATGTACCCCTGCTGGGGCGATGGGTGCTCTGTCACCCAATGGCTCAGGGCTTGAACTTTGGAAAAAGATCACCTCTGGGTCTGCGGGATAAATAAAGACGAAATTCTTCCATAACCTCTTACAATCTAAAAATCAAAAGGTAGAAGGTCCTAACTCTAAATGCAAATAAAGTGAGGCGCGTTAAGAATTTAAAACAAGGCCTCCCCTGGTGGCGCAGGCGCAGTGCTTGTGAAGCTGTCCACAGCCTCTGCAGCTCCTGTTTGATCCCAGTTGGCTGGAGAGGGGCCGGAGAGGGTCCTGCATGGCACGGCAGACCTCTCCTGTCACACCCACTGCTCCCCTCAGCAGTGTATTTCAGTAGATCTGCCTGTTCTGTTCCCCACTCTGTCTCTGGTGAATCCTCTCACCCCCCCACATCTCTGGCCTGTACCCCAGTTCTTGTGTGCATAAATAAATAAATAAATCGTTTTAAAAAAGATTATTTATGCATACAAGAACTGGGGTGTAGGAGAGATGGGGGGTGAGAGGATTCACCACAGAAAGAGTGGGGGGCAGAACAGGCAGACTGACTGAAACACACTGCTGAGGAGAGCAGTGGGGAGACAGGAGATGTCTGCTGCGCCATGTGGGTCAGCTCCCTGGACAGGGATCAAACTCGTGCTGCAGTTGCTGGTGATAGTTTCACAGTGCAGCATCTTAACCCCTTGTGCCCCCAGGGAGGCCCTTCTGTTCTATTCTTTTTTTTTTCCTTTTTGTAAAGGCAATGAACTAGTCACAGGGAGAAGCTTCCAGTTACATAAAATTTTGTTTTATGAAATATCCTGGCCCCATTCATTATTTTGTCCTGCTCCTCTCGTAGGTGTAGACAACTTTCTTGTATTTGGAAGCTGGAGGGGCTCAGACTTTGAAGTAGTGTCTTGTTTTCACTTTCATTTTTAATTGAAGCTATATACAGCTGTGAATTAAACAGAATAAATTTCTAAATTTAAAAATGAAGAAAAGGGCAAAAGATGTTTATTTGGATTTAAAAGGTAGCTGGAACACAGGTTCAGACTAGAAACCCAAACCCCCTCACTAAAAAAAAAAATGAGGTGACCTTGATATTAACTCCCAACACTGCTGCTCTGTCCTTGCCTGCTTGACTAGCAGGAGGCCATGTTTCATCCTAAAATGTTTTTCTGTGTAACCACATGGAATTCTTAAGATTTTTTAAAAATTACTTTTCCCCTGCCAAGGAGCAAGGAGGTAATTTTACCAATGGAGCTTTCATCAGCTTCTGTTACTGGTCCTGATAATGATAGGGAGTTGTGTATATTATAGAAAATGTGAAGAGTAGAATAAAATAGGATGAACAGTATCAAAAAGTACTCTTATGACTTAGCACGTTTCCTTCCTACTTTTTTCGCCAATATTTGCAATTGTGAAATAGAATGCCTGTGTAGAAGGTAGGCAGTAGCCTGAGAATTGTATAATGAGCTTCCATTAAATAGGTCAAGGAATGTAAAGTCACATCATATCATGATCTTCCTCCATAAGGAAGCCCCTATATGGCTGTCACTACTTTTTTTCTTTGCTCTTCACTTCATATCCTGGTATGCATCACTGCATGTATCATTAAAACGTGATTTTAATTTTGTCTGGTATTTAATATTTAAAGAAATTAAATCATGTTCTGTTTCTGTCTTGTCACTCAATAGTGTGAAAGCAAGACTAGTTCACATTTTGGATGCAGCTTGAGGCTTTTATTTGCACTGCTGTATAATATTCCACTAAATGTACAGTTGTTTACATTGTTTTCTACTCACACATAAGGGTTAAGGAGAATATGCTTACATCATCGCTAAAATTCTATAGTCATCATTTATCACTGCAATATAAGTACTCTCCACAGCATTAAAAACTATTCAGTGTCACTGTAGCTATTCTTTACATTTAATTTGGTATATATTGGGGTTTTTTATTTAGATAGTTTCAAATCATTTTACTGTAAAGAGTTGAACATTTTTACACATAAAGATTTTTATCTGAATTTGAAGACATTTCCTAATATCATTTCCAAGAATAAAATTACTATTTCTATTAAAAATTCAAGTATTTTAAATTCAAAGTTCCCTGCAGAGGGGTTGTGAACTTATTTCTCAGAAATAGTGAGGACAGATTTCCTAGTCTCACTAACATTTTAGTCTATCCGGTTTGCCTCTCCAAGGCTCTGGACACAAATTCCCACCATGCTCTGCTGCTTCTGCCTCTGCGCAGGGCCTGCCCCTTCCCCGCGGGCTGTCGTGGCTGTTCTCCGCGCCGTCCCTTGACTCTGCCCCCACAGGTCCCCCTCGTGGTACCTGAGCTTGGCCACCTGGGCCTTTCCTCCCTTTTGGCCACTTGTCAGGGATTTAGTGTCTCGCTACTGATTGCCACCAGGCGGCGCCCTCCCCCGTTATTTTTCACATGGTCCTCACCGCCCTTTCCATCGCCCTGAAACACTTCTCTGCATCTTATTCACAGTCCAGCCCGTACATTACTCTGTGCTTGGCCCCTTTAACTCGTTCCTCCTCACTTTTCCCAACTTACTCGCCCCCTTTCTCACCCCTCCTGGCGCTTTACCTTACCCATCCCACTGCCGTCATTATTCTGTGTTTCCCACTCATTATCCCTCCAGGCCACAAGGCGTGGCCAATTACGATCTTGCCTGCCTTCCGGGCCGCGATTTTCCCACGATACCACCCCGTTCCACAAGGCGGCGACACTCGCTATTCTCGCCGCTTTAGTTCGCCCTCAGGAGCCGCCCTTGGCGCGGCCACTTCCGGTCTGGCTCGCGTTTTGGGCGGCAGTTTTCCCACGATACCACCCCAGTCCACAAGGCGGCGACACTCGCTACTCTCGCCACTTTATTTCGCCCGCAGGAGCCGCTCTTGGCGCGGCCACTTCCAGTCTGGCTCGCGTTTTGGGCGGCGATTTTCCCACGATACCACCCCAGTCCACAAGGCGGCGACACTCGCCCGTCTTGCCCCTTTATTTTGCCGCAGGGAGCCGCTCTGGCGCAGCCACTCCCGGTCCCACTTCCGGTCCCTCTCGCATTTCTGGCCCTGATTTTCCCACGATACCACCCCGTTCCACAAGGCGGCGACACTCGCTACTCTCGCCGCTTTATTTTGCCCGCAGGAGCCGCTCTTGGCGCGGCCACTTCCAGTCTGGCTCGCGTTTTGGGCGGCGATTTTCCCACGATACCACCCCAGTCCACAAGGCGGCGAGACTCGCCCGTCGTGCCCCTTTATTTTGCCGCAGGGAGCCGCTCTGGTGCAGGCACTCCCGGTCCCACTTCCGGTCCCTCTCGCATTTCTGGCCCTGATTTTCCCACGATACCACCCCGTTCCACAAGGCGGCGACACTCGCTTCTCTCGCCGCTTTATTTCGCCCGCAGGAGCCGCTCTTGGCGCGGCCACTTCCGGTCTGGCTTGCGGTCTGGGCGGCGATTTTCCCACGATACCACCCCAGTCCACAAGGCGGCGACACTCATCGCCTAGCTCCTTTAATTTGCCCCTGGGAGCCGCTCTTGGCGTGGCCTCTCACTTTCCGCCTGGTGCATCCTGGGAGTCTCAGTGATGACGTAACTGCCGAGGGCCCGCTTAAAGGGCCGATACAGCAAAGGGCTGATAAGGGAACTGCAGGAGGACTGAAAGCGCCGCTAGCCGTGCAGGACAATGGCGGGCGCTGAGAAAAGTGATGACTGTGCTGCGAAGCAGTGGGGAGGGTGGGAGGCTTCACTAGGAAAAGGGGACAGACCAAATGATGGCAGGTGAGGAAATCTGCCCTCACTATTCCTGAGAAATAAGTTCACAACCTCTCTGCAGGGAACTTTGAATTTAAAATACATTTTCAATGGAAATAATTTCATTTTTGGAAATGACCTAAGGAAATGTTTTCAAATTCAGATAAAAAATCTTTATGTGTAAAAATGTTCAACACTTTATTTACAGTAAAGTGATTTAAAACTAAATAAAAACCCCCAATATATACAAAATTGAATGTAAAAACTAGATACAATAACATTGAAATTTTTTAATGATGTGGGAAGTGCTTATATTAGTGTTGTGTGTTGAAAGTGGAAAATTCTAGCAATGATGTCATTCCAGCACAGAAGGAAAATACTAATGAAACATCCTCTCCTTACCCCTTACTTGTGAGTAGAAAACAATGTAAACAACTGCATTGAGTGGACTACTATACAGCAGTGAAAAGAAAGAGTCTAGCTGCACCCAAAATGTGAACTAGTCTTGCCTTCATACTGTTTAGTGACATTCAAGACAGAAACAGAACATGATTTAATTTATTTAAATATTAAATACCAGACAAAATTAAAATCACGTTTTAATGATACATGCAGTGATACATACCAGGATATGTAGTGAAGAGCAAAGAAAAAAATTAGTGACAGCCATATAGGGGCTTCCTTATGGAGGAAGATCATGATATGATGTGACTTTACATTCCTTGACCTATTTAATGGAAGCTCATTATATAATTCTCAGGCTACTGCCTACCTTCTACACAGGCATTCTATTTCACAATTGCAAATATTGGCGAAAAAAGTAGGAAGGAAACGTGCTAAGTCATAAGAGTACTTTTTGATACTGTTCATCCTATTTTATTCTACTCTTCACATTTTCTATAATATACACAACTCCCTATCATTATCAGGACCAGTAACAGAAGCTGATGAAAGCTCCATTGGTAAAATTACCTCCTTGCTCCTTGGCAGGGGAAAAGTAATTTTTAAAAAATCTTAAGAATTCCATGTGGTTACACAGAAAAACATTTTAGGATGAAACATGGCCTCCTGCTAGTTAAGCAGGCGAGGACAGAGAGCAGCGTTGGGAGTTAATGTCAAGGTCACCTCATTTTTTTTAGTGAGGGGGTTTGGGTTTCTAGCCTGAATCTGTGCGCTGCCTAGCTTTTAGACCCAAATAAACATATTTTGCCCCTTTTCTTCATTTTTAAATTTATTCTATTTAATCCACAGCTGTATATAACTTTAATTAAAAATAAAACAGTGAAAACAAGACACTACTTCAAAGTGTGGGCCCTTCCAGCTTCCAAATACAAGAGTCCCGAAAGTTTTCTACACCTATGGGAGAAGCAGGACAAAATAATGAAGCCATGATATTTCAAAAAACAAGATTTTATATAACTGAAAGCTCCTCCCTGTGACTAGTTCATTGCCTTTACAAAAAGAAAAAAAAAATAGAACAGAATAGAATGGAATTCCCATGTCAGCTCAAGCTGTCACAGGTCAGTATAAATCCAGTGTCCTGGCAGAGATCATAGTTGATAGTTCAACTGTGGCTTTCACTTTCTGTCTCACCTAGAGCTCAAACCCTGGCTCATTCAGTGGAGCCCCCACAGGCAGTAGAAAAGCCAGAGGCATTAAAATACTCACATGAACATTTGTGGTAGCTCCACAGTGGCCTTATTATAACAACGTGTACTCTATAACATGATAAACAGGCTTTATCTTGGGAATATTCTTTCTTCACCTTCCCCAAACACATCTAATGTGTCTTTTTAGAAAAATAACACCAAGGTGGGTTTTTTTAAATGCTCTGTTTTATGAATGTTCCATAACAGGAAAAGGTAACATGTCAGGGGGGACTCACTACCTCTGTGCAATTTATTTTATTTCATTGCAGTTTTGGGATAAAGTATTTCTCTCAAATGAGAAGATACTTGTGTGGAGGAGCCCCGAATTAGATTATCTTCAGAGGCAATTACAACATTGATCATGGTTTTTTATTAACACGGATTCATTTTTCATTTATGTGTTGTATCAAAGCTCTCGCATCTGAGTGTCGCTTACCTGAGCTTCCTGGCCACCCTGAGCTTTGTCAACATCAGGGGCACTGTTAATTAGCCTGAAACAGAAAATATGTCACAGGATTGATTATATGAGAGTTTTCAGGCAAAAGGAAAAATGGCTCCAGCTGAAGGTACAGGGTATTTGTCTTAGGAAAAGGTTTTTATAAAGATTACAACAATTCTACAGATCGCCCACCCTCCTACGCGGGTACTCCGTATTCCTTCCCAGTGACCTGAGGCTGCACCCAGTTCCAGGCCCGGTTCCCCTTCCCACTCTTACCCAGCAAGACCCGGTCCTGCGGGTTCTCGGACTCGCCGCCCAGCGGCTGTGCCGCTTCTGCCAAAGGGAGCAGCTCCCCTGCATGAAGGTCTCGACTCCCATTGAGAGGCTCCCCCCTGGCTGGGGTCTGGCATCAGAGATGGGGCAGCTCTGGATTCGGGGGGCACTCACAGAGCTACTGGGACTTCACCAGAAGAAAGGGGAGGGTAGGAAACAGTGGTTGACACACCTGGGAGGGGGGTACAGGGCAGAGCCCCCAGAGAGGAGGGCGACTCTGTGCTCGGGGTCAGGGCTGAGTTTTGGGTACCATCAGCCTCAGGTACCCACCATCATCTCTGCCAAGGCCCCCAGACCCCCGAAGTCATAAAGTCCGCAAGTTGTCTGCACTGTTGGGGAGACGAGCTGCGCCAGCTGAGGCGAACAAAGATAGGAGGGTCCCCACTTGGAAGTGGGGCCGCGAATCAGCTGCTCTTTCAGTTCGTGACATTGGAGACAGGGAAAGAAAAGAGCAGGGGACAGGAAGGGCCTTGGGAGTACAGTGAGGGCAGCGAGGAGGAGGGGGGAGGAGCAGAGCAGGGGTGAAGTGTGCAGGAAGGGCCTTGAAAGATGGAGCCGGGGGGGACCTCGCTTGAAGGCGCTAACGCCAGGGAGTCCTCCAGGCCTGCGACCGCCTTTGTGGCTCTGCTCTGCACCCCCACACTCCCTCCCGGGCGCGCAGAACCGTGTGGCCTTGGGAGAGGCTGTTACTCCAGCCCTTTCTTTGGAGGCTTAAGCTAAAGGTGAGCCCGCTGCCCTCAGGGGCTCCCCAACAGGGGGAGATTACAGGAGACAGGACTCTGCAGGCCAAACACCCGACAGAGGGAGAAGAGGAGACGCTCCCCAAAGACTCGGACCCCGAACAGCATTTGGGGTCAGCGGCTGAGGAGGCGCCGCCTGCGATACCCTGAGATTCTCCGCCGCACCTGCTCTCCCGCCTCAGGTCACATGGGGTGAAGTGGAGCTTCCCCTTGGGGTGGAAGCAGGGACCCCCCACCCACCATCCGCGAACACCCGGGCACCAGCTCTGCCCTCCCGCTGCTGGGCCTGGGGCGGGAGGGGGCTGGCCCGGAAAGTTTACAACGTGCGCCCCAAACTCCACCCTAAACCTGCGGAAGTGAAAACAGCCCGGACAGAGGGGAGCCCGACCCGGGTGCGCCCTCGAGGCCCACGAGGAGCCGGGAGCGAGCCCGCGGGGGGTCACGCTCAGGGACGGGCCCGCCCCTGTGCTCCTCCAGGCCCAAAATGAGCCCCAGAGCCCCGCGTCCGCGTCCAGCCCTTCCCGCGCGCCCCGTCCGGCTCGCCCACCCTCGCTGCGCGCCCGGCCAGAAAATTCATGGCCGCGGAGAAGGAAGCAGCAGCCCTGCCGGCCCCGCTGTCTCCTCGCCGCCTCCGCTCCCTGCAGCCAGGCCCGCAGCCCGCCGTCTCCCGCCGAGTCTCCTGGTCCGAGGGGCCGACGCGCTTCTCAGGAGGGGAGAGGGACGCGCTGGGGGAGCCGCCCTGTCGGCCTGGGGAAGCCGCCGGCGAGGGAAGAGGATGGGGAGAAGGGGGGCGCGGTGGGTGGCGCCGGGGACGTGGTGGGTGGGCTCCCCGCAGCCTCACACCCGGCGCCGGTTCCTTCCGTGCGGGCCCCACAGAGGCGGGGTTCGGGCGCTCACCCCCCCCCCAGGAAGTGAGCCCAAGGAGTCCCCTGCACCTGAGGCCCCGGGTCCGTCCGGGCGGCTCTTCCCGCGTTTCCTCCTCCGCGCCCCGGAGCCCGCGGGGAGACGCGCCGGGGAGGCCGCGGGGCGCAGGAACTGGGCCTCCCCGTGGCCTCTCGCGGCTCCCGCCGCCCTGGGACCGACCTCGTAGGCCGGAGAGCGGGAGGGGCGGCTGCGGGTCAGCGGCTCGGTCGTCGAAGTCCGGAGGCACAGTTTGGCGGGGCGGCCCCCACCCCCGGCGCCCCCGCAGCCCAGTGGCCGCCGCCCGGTGCTCGGCCGGGCGCTGCCGTCCTGTCCCCGCGCAGACGGAGCGGGAGGCGGCGGAGCCCAGGGGTGCCGGGACGGTGCCCGCGTAACCGCGCCCGGGCCGAGCGGGCGGGCCCGGCCCGGCCGAGGCCGCGGAGGAGGCGGGCGCGGGCGGGAAGCCGCCGACTTGCTCCGCGCGGCCCTAAACGCGGGTGCGTCGGGCCCCGGTTTGCCCTCGGGCTCCCGACCCCGCGGCGCCGGCGGCCTCCTGCGCGCTCCGCCCGGCGTCTGTCTCGGGGCGCCCTCGGCACACCCCGCTTTCCCTTCCCAGGCGCTACACCTGCTGGCGCCCCGACCCGGTCTCCGTGACAGCCGCGGCCCGGGCCCTGGGGAGGCCCGCGGGCGGGTCGCCGGTCCCAGGGGGTCGCGTCCAGGGAGCGAGTCCTGCCCAGTGCGGGCCTCGGCGTCCGGGAGCCCCTGCGCCAGGCGGGCCTCGGGGAGGGGTCTCCGCTGCCTGCCGGGCTCGCCGGCCGAAGAGCCTCCCAGCCCGGCTGAGGGACGCGGCGGCTCCTTCGTCCCCGCCGCACAGCCCGGCCCGGCCCGGGAGCCTGACCCGCCCCTCCCTCGGCGCGTCCCTCCCTCGGCGCGTCCCTCCCTCGGCGCGTCCGGGGCGCGAGCTGCCTCGTCTCTCAGGCCCCTGCGCGCCTCTCCGCCCCAACGTGACTTGGGGCGGCCGAGAGCCCGCTCGCCCCGCTGCCTCCTTCGCCCGCGCTCCCCTCCTGCCCGCCCTCCTGAGCCTGGGCCGGGGTCCCGCGTACTCGCACGGGTCCGGCCCCACGGGTGCACTCGGTCGGGCAGGCGGCGGCAGCTGCGCCCCGTGTCTCCGTCAGTCCGTCTCGGGGCGGCGACCCCGCGCCATGACGGCGGGCCCCGCCCGGTCAGTGGACGCCCCGCGAGCGACACGGGGCTCGCGAGGGAAGACGTTTCTCGGCGCCGCGCCCGCCCCGCCCCCCGCGTGGGGCCGTTCCTGAAGGCGCCGCCGCGTCCCCTCGGGCAGACCCCGCGGCGGGGCGAGAGATGCCGGAGACGATTCCCTGCACCGCCGGGCACCGCCGCCCTCCGGAGACCCCCGGCGCGCCCCTATTCTGTCCCCGTCGGGGTCTCGCTGGCGGGGCTGCGGACGTCACCCGTTTTCGAATTGGGGAGCCCCAAACTTTAGCAGGGAAATCGTTCGTCACAGCGGTGGGGGATCGGCTGAGCCCGCGAGGTGACCGGCCAGGGCTGGACGGCACAGCTGGGGCGCGCGCGAGCCGTGCCCGTCGGGCTGAGGGTGCCGCGGGCCGGGGTGTGACCTGGGGTCAGCGCCTCAGGCTCTCTGGTCCTCGCGCCGGCCCCGCCCCCGCGGGCACGCACCGCCCCCAAACCGCCTCGGGCTTCTGGGAGTTGTAGTCTCGGCCACGCTGGCGGGCGCGGCGCCTTCTGGGAGTTGTAGTTCCCGGGCGTGGGCACCTCCCGGATGCGTTGCGCGCCCGCGCCGCAGCGGGAGGGGGGTCTCGGGGCCGAGGAGAAGCCGCCCGACTCGCCGCGCCCGGCGGAGGCCGCCCAAAGCTCCCGGAGCAGGACCCGGACGGGGAGGGCGCAGCTGCGCCGAGTGCGCGTCTGTTCCCTCGCGGTGCGGAGACGGGGTGATCCCCGCGCCGGCCCCTTCCCTCCCCTATCCGTCCTCTCCCAGATGCCCGCTGCGCCCCCCGGGAGGAGAGGGGTGCAGCCCGTGGGCGCGGGGCCTCCCAGCACGAGGGCGCCACACCTGGCTCGCGCCCGCAGCGCCCGAGGCCCTGCGCGATCTGACCCTCGCTCCGCGTGGCCGCCGCTGCCCTGAGCCGCCCTGCCCCAGCCTAGGTACCGCTCCCCTCGCAGCCCTGCCCCGGCCTCGCCCCCGCTCCGCCAGCTCCCCACGAAGCCGCTGCTCGCAGCCACCGGGAGCAGGACGCACGGGCTGCGGGCCCAGACGGACTCTGCAGCGGAGAGACTGGCCGCACCGCACCTCCTACAGGCTGCAGGGCGGAGACAGCGCGGCCGCAGAGTCCGGGAGCCCTGGAGGCGGGGCGTGGAGGGGGCGGGGCGTGGGGGCGGGGCGTGGGGGGCGGGGCCTGGCCCCCCTGGCTCAGCGGCACGGCGCACCAAAGGACCCCCAGAAGCCGCCACCTTCGCGGCGCCCCGCTGCCGCAGCACCGCGTGGCCCACTGGGCGCAGGTACTCCGCGGCCTCCCTCGAAGCCATAATCACAGCAGGATCCCCAGCATCATCTCACCAGTCACGTCCACGTGGTGGGCAACTTGTGCAGCCACGCCTTCCCCGGGCACTGAGGTACTAAGTCCCCCCCAGTGGCATCGAGTCCCCCCCCCCCCAGTGGCACCGAGTGCCCCCAGAGTCCTCCCAGGGGCCACCCAGGCACCATTATCTGTGGTCCCCTGGCCGCCTCTGCCCTATTTCCGGGTAAGCGAGGGTTCGTGTGAATATTCGCTCATTTGCCTGAATGTGCCCCCACATGGGCAGCACATTCTCTTACACCCTACACACGGCGTACCCCGAGGTGCCCACAGTCTGGGCACAATGTCAACTGACGAACTGCCCTGTGTCTAGGATAGCAGGTCTACAGAAAAATCCCACGTTTTTAAAAAAAACGAGATTTTCCAATTTTACCGAAAAGTATAAAGTGTGGTGCATTCCCTAATCCAATACCTTTAAAATTTTAAACAACACCAAGAAAAAGAAGAGTTTACTAGGCTTTATAATAGATAACTGCTTTTGAAATAGGTCATGGAAATGTATGTTTCCAATTTATTTTGAAATAAATTATAAGATCTGACTTCGCTTCACTGGTAAATACCTTCCTTTGCGTGTCTTAGCAAAATAATCTCCTAAACAGCTGCAGCATCATCCCAACAGAGTGAATCTCTTCATATCCTTGTCCAATCCATACTCAGGTTTCTTTGTTCCACCCCCCAAGTTTGAAAAACATGATTTATTTGAAAATAAGTTAAGCCAAGTGATCTGCGGATGAGCCCAGACCTGGGAGGCCTCTCAGCTCAGCTCAGCTCAGCTCAGCTCAGCTCTGTGAAGGAACCAGGGATTGTCAGACCTTGTGCTTCTGGTGTGTCATCACCTGCACTGGCCCTGGCACACAGTAGGTCCTCAGAAAACATCTGGGGAAATGAGTAAGTGGGGAAAGCCCTGGCCTGGCCCTGGTGCCCAGCAGGTCAGGAATTGTGGGGTCTGAGTCTCCCCTGTACTCTGGATGTCACGTGGGCTTCAGCACACAGTGGGTCTTCAGGAAGAATGACTCCTGGGATGAACGGATGCATGGTGAACATCCACAGCACTAGCTCTCCAAGTCAGAAACCAAGTGCCCTGGTTCCTTCCTGCGCCCAGGCATTGGCACACAGTAGGTCCTCACGAAACCCCCCCTTCCCCCCTGCAGCTGAATGAAAGTTCACCCAGCATCCACCCTAGAGTCGTCGAAGGTGAGAGACAACGCACAGTTGTTTCCTCCTAGGGCTGCAGACACCATCTAGGTCTCGGCACACACTAGGTTCTCAAGAAATGCTGTGCTGGACTATTCAACTGAAGGCTCCCAGGCCCGGAGCCCAGGGTCATAACCACGCAGTCCAGCTCCTCCCTCTGGCCCACATTTCCCCGCCCCTGCCTCCGCACACAGTAGGTGCTCAGGAAATACCACCTGGGTAGTGGAATGAGTGAAATGAGACCCCAGTTTCCAGGGGCAGATTTCACTCAGGCGAGAGCCAGGTCTCCCCCACAGGAAGACAGCGCCCCCTCCCGATGCGTGAAGGAGCTTTTCTTCTCCGGACGCCCCTCACTTCACTTCGGCTGCCACTTGAAGCTCCTTACTGGGGTGTTTCTCTCACATCGGTACCCGCGGGTCTGCGCTGGTCAATCCGACGGATAAACACGAACACGGACGGGCACGGGGCGGCCCACAGTCGCCCTTTCCCCCCTTCCTGCCTGTCACCGCCCGTGGTGACGCGGAACGTCCAGGCCCTCCCGACGCCCGCGCCCTCCCACCACCCGCCTGCACCTCCGACCCGGTGTGCTGGGCCGGGCCAAGCGCCTGCCCCTCCGCTCCTGAGCCCGCTGGGAGGGCCCGATGAGCCGCCCCGCTGCGGAGCCGCCCCAGGACCGTGCGTGCAGCTGCGAGACTCGGCGTCTTAGGAGGTTCCTGGCATGCCCCAGCCGAGCAGAGCCGAGCGGACGCCGGCGGGCGCGGAGGGCGGGCGGCCCTGTCCCCAGGGAGGCGCGCGAAGGTGGCCGCTGACGGTGGATGACCCCGGCCGCCTCTGCCCCCGCTTCCTAGGGCCGGGGCCACTGGGTCGTGTCCCGCGTCCTCGCGTGGCTGGTGCTGGTGCGCTCGCCTCGCTCGCGCGGTCTCGGCGTCTTCCCGGGAGCGCGGCCGCCGCGACCCGCTAGAGCCATGAGGGAGGCGGGTTGCGAGCTTCGGGCCAAAGCCCGTGGCGGGTGCCGTGTGCTGAAGCCGGATCCAGGGATCCCGGAGCCGCGGCTGGGGGCTGGGCCGGCAGCGCCCCCGGCCCGGAGAGGCCCCGCCCGGACGGCCGAGGCTAGACGGCCCCGCAGCGGGTCCCGATTCCTCTCCGCGCCGCCCCGCGCACGAGGTCGACGACCAGAGGCCGCGCGGGAAAGGGGTCGCGCGGGGGGCCGGGGTTCGGGCCGCAGCTCCAGGGGGCCTGCGGGGACCTGCTGCTCGGCCTCGCCCCTGGGCGCCGAGGTTTTTTTGGCCCCAAATCGGCACTTTTTGCCTGCAGGCTATCGGTGGTTCCTCGCTGGGGGCGAAACCCCGCGCGTTCTCTCGCCCGCGTCTGCTTTCTCGAGGGTCTGCGCGGCCTGCGTGTTTGCTATCGCGTCTCAAGGCGCCGCACTGCGCGCTGCGATAGCATCACCTCAAAGTACAAATAAGGTTGCTGTTGTCATACGCCAGTTGGCGTTGCCTCTACATAAGTTGGGGTGAGTTGTTGTGTTGCGCTACATGAGGAACCAAATCCGCAGCAAGGCTGGTGTACTGCCTCTGGGAGGCCACAGGGGCTGCAATGGGGAACTCTGTCTTGAAGCAGTTGGTGGGTGCTGCTGAGCAGGGTGCTGTTCTGAGTTTCCTGCATGCTCCCAGGACCTGATGCAGGCAGTTTGTTGTGCCTCATCCATGCTGCAGGCGCTGAACCCACAATGCACCCCACGCCTGGTGAGTGGGGGTGTGGCAGTCTTGTTTGAAATTAAAATAAACCTGTAAGCCCCCCACCCGGTAGGGTGTGAGTTCTATGGCCTGTGCCAACCCCCTCCTGTGAGGGTGCATTGTCAGATGTGGAACCTTGTGCCCACATGGTGGAAAAAGGTCCTCTAGGCCCAGGGCTGCTATTGGGTCAGGCCTCACACCAATACATGTGCTGGTGGCTGCTCCCTGGGCTGTGAATGTGGAGCAATAAAGCTGGGAGGATGCAGTGGCTCTGGGTGATCGGGTGGGCACATATTTTCTGTAGAGATGCCTCCATATGTTCCAGGGCTCCTAGCTCCTGTCTGTGTCCTCTGCTGTGTGGCTCAGTGCTCCCCCTTTATATGTTCCTGTTTGCTTATCTACAGAGCCTGACCCCCCCCATGTGTTTTGCTGTTCTCATGCCCCACTGGAAGCAACATCATGGTGTGGGGCTTACTCTTGTCTGTGTCCCTATGTACCCCCTGTAGTGGTGCTAGCCTCAGGTCAAGTTGGTGTTGATTGAGTGCCCAAGACTACCCACCTCAGTCATGTGGTCCCTTGGGGAGCTTGTCCTCACCCCCTGAATGGTCAGTCATGCAGTGCCAATGTCATGAGCTGAACCTGTGGTTGTAGATACAGCCTCATGGAGTTAAGCCCTCAGGGCCAGTGGCCTTTGCTATCTCTTGGTGTGTTGCTCTGTGCTGCCCTGATCCCCACCAGACACCTGTCCCTTGGCTTACACTGTGCCAGGGACTTGGTTCTCTCTAGGACTGTATCCATCTGGGATGCAGTGAAGGGCACTTGTGTTCCTACTGCTGATGCATGCCAAGCATTCTGGGGTGTGGGACCCCAGGTGAGTCTGTGCTTTTGGGATCAGTCTTCCAGCCTTGTGGGTGCACCCCTGGCTGCAGCTGGGTAAGCTCATGGTTGGTATGGCTGGTGGATACAACCTGGTTCCCTCAGTGGGGTGTCCTGTTGCCTGGAGCCTTTACTTTGGAAGGAGCCAATGCTGTGAGCCACCTGGGCCCAGGGGGCTGTTTTGGGGCCAGAAGGGGGTCTTTGTGTGGTGCTGGAGGAGATGCCCAGAGAAAGCAGGAGCCCAGGCTGCCAGCCCCAGTATGCAGGAGGGGCCTGGTGCTTGTGCTGGTGGGGGCTCCAGGAGTGCCTGCTCCTGGGCAGTGCCCAGGCCACCCAGCCCCATGGGCAGCATTGCAGTTGGGCCAACAAAGGTGGTAATTGGGGACCCATGGGGGTCTGGGGCTGGCTGTCCCTGCATTGCATGCAGTTGTCAGAGGCCAAGACTTGTTCTGAGTAATGCCAGAAGCACCCATCTTTCACATGGGGCTGCGTGCCCAGGGGCTGGTGCCCTTTGGGTCCTGTTTCCCTCTCTAATGCAGTGCCCAGTGCCTGGGGTAGCATCTTCTCCACCATGGCTGTGAGTGCTGCAGCTTGGATAGGGGGATTCCAGCTCTCAAGACTGTGAGGCATGACAGGCAATGCCCTAGAGCTGCAGGGGCCAGTTTCAAGCTCCAGCCACCTGCATAGGCTGGCCATCCATGGGGGTGGTGGTGGGAGCCTTGCTGTGCCTGTGGGGCTGGTGCTGCAGCAGTGTCCAGGAGACCTGTGGGGGCATGGAAGGCTGATACCTGGGCTGACCACCTGTCCAGCTCAGTGGCTCTGCCCCTGGTGCTGTGTACCTCAGGGTGCTCTGCTCCCACTGGACTGGCCCAGGAGTGACCATCTGGAAGGGTCTTTAAGCTTCAGCCCCATTACAGTGTGATGGGGTGCCCTGCCCAGGATGAGAGGGGGGTCCTTGTGCTCCCCCCACGCCCTCCCCCCAGGTGCTCCCATTCCTGTGCCACTGCCTACGTCCCAGCCTTGCGTTTAGGGGCTTGGCCCTTCCAGAATTTTTTGAATAGTTTGAGGTGAGGATTTAACTTTTTTCCGCAAATGGATAAATACTTGAGCCGTCCCAGTTACTCAGACAAGCAGAACAACCGACTCTGGCCAACAGGGTCCATGCGCATGGCTCCTGTGGGCATCTAGGGGAGCCCCAACAGCCCAAGGGCAGATCCGTGGATGGAGAAGGGAACAAGGCCTAAAGGGCTTCCCTGTCCTGCCCAGGGGACATGTGCCAGGAAAGTGGGAGCCCAGACCGGTGCTTGGGGGTGCGCGCGTCCTACTGTCAGAGTGAAATCCCCTTGTTGAGAGGCATCTCCATACCTGGACCTGCCAAGTCGGCGCAGTGTGGAGCCAGGAGGAGCCTCCAGGAATGTTGTGTCCAGCATGTTCTAGAAGGAGCGACAGATAAAATGAGAAGACCCATTAGAAGGCTGCTGCAACAAGCCAGGTGAGAGATGACACAACTGTAGCGAGGTGGTGGCGAGGATGGGGTGCAGCGGACAGATTTGGACTGCCTTGGAGACGGAGCTGAGGACGCCCTCTGGGAGACGGCAGTGGGGAAGGGAAGGTGGGGGCTGTGGGAAGCGTTTGCACTTTTGAGTCCGAGCATCTGCATGTCCTGTAGGGCCCTGTGTGGGGTGGAGATATATTTTTTAAAGATTTTATTTATGCATACAAGAGCTGGGGTGAAGGCCAGAGGTGTGGGGGTGAGAGGATTCACCAGAGGCAGAATGGGGAGCAGACCAGGCAGACTGACTGAAATACACTGCTGAGGGGAGCAGTGGGGAGACAGGAGAGGTCTGCTGCGCCATGTGGGTCAGCTCCCTGGTCAGGGATGGAACTCATGCTGCAGCGGCTGCAGACAGCTTCATGGTGCTGAGACTTAATCACTTGCACCACCAGGGAGGCCCTGGAGATATTTCACTCAGAGAGAAAATCCAGATCTCCCTTTGGGGCATGTTAAATATTTGATGGTCCCATCTCTGGAAGCTACCAGGGGAGCCTGGTCTGCTCAGAGATAAGTGTTCGGGGTCTTTGGGGAGGGGTGGTGGTGGTGGTGGAGAGGATGAGCTTAGAAATGCGCCCAGAGGAGCACATGTCTTGAGGCAAGGGCTGAGGCCTGGGAACTGTCCGCGGTGCTGACCACACCGCGCGCTGTCCATGTCTCTGTGACGCTGAATAACCGGAGCGGACCTTGGCGCCTAACGGGAGCTGTCCGTGGTGCTGAACCCCCACCGAACTAGCAGCGGTCCTGAACCATAGTGCGCTGGCCACGCCCCCGGAGCTGGCCGGCACGAGCTGCTTATGCTGTCTATTTTCTCAAAGAACACTTATTGCCGAGAAAAACTCACTGTTGCTTGGAAACAAAGCTCGCTAGGATGTACAGAGCGTGAGATGAAAGCAAATGAGGCCAAAACTGCAGAGCTCTGAGGCCAGGAAGGCCTAGCTACGCCTGACTGAGACTTAACACAGCCTCCAGGACACATCTGAAGGGGGCGAGGGACAAAAGGGAAGAGAGAGCAGTGTGCAGGCTTCAGGCCTCTGGTTCTCAGGCTGGGGGAAGCAGGGGTGATGCGGGGTGACACAGAGGTATATGTGGGGTGGCAGGGAGATGTAATTGTTAGGCCCTGGCTTTTGTGTTGTGAGGTGGGGTAACAAGAAGGATATTACAGAAATGCACACAAATAGAGAATGGCTGTGTTATACAGTCATTGGAATTATAAACACTTGAAAAAGTGAGGCTGTGGGTGATATTTTTTTAAATGACAAAAAAAACATGCTTTTAAATATAATCTGCTGTGTAAATGTAAGTGGTTTGCTGTTTTCAGTATCACTTTTGATAAGCCAGACACTTTTTGTGAGCCCCTGGCATAAAACCCGCCCACTCTCGGGTTGTTGAATGAATGAATGAATGAACAAGTTTGTTCTTCTCAAAGATCTGGTCACAACTGTCCCCATCGCTCAAGACACTTTCATGAAGAGTCCACTATGTGCTGGATATTGCAGGGGGCAGCCAGGATGGCTAAGCCTTCTCCTCAAAGAGGATGATTTTCACATCCTGCAGGGGAAGGACACTCTGAGGCTGTGATTTGAGTTGCCGCAATCTGGCTCTTTCCTGGTTTTCTATGTTCTCATGGAGCTGTGGCCACTGGGCTTTGACATTCCGGCTCCTCAAGAGAAGCTTCTAGAATTTACACCCCATGGCAGGAAGGACCCCGTGAGTCTAACTCAACCAGGGCTACAACACATACTAGACATTTCATGAATCCATTGTTGTTTTGAAGGGTTGGGTGGATGAAAGATGGTGTTTAATACAATCAATTATTTCATTGTCTTTTTTTCTTAAAGATTTATTGATTTATGTATACAAGAGCTGGGGTACAGGCCAGAGATGCGGGGGTTGAGAGGACCCACCAGAGACAGAGTAAGAAACAGAACAGGCAGGTTGACTGAAATGCACTGCTGAGGGGAGCAGTGGGCAAGTCAGCAGTGCCATGTGGATTAGCTCCCTGGCCAGCTGGGGATCAAACTTGTGCTGCTGAGGCTGCAGATTGCTTCATAGTGCGGTGCTTAACTCCTTGCACCACAGGTAGGCCCTTCCGTTGTCTTAATATTGACAATCACATCGACATATCGGAAGAAGCATGAGTTTCTTGGCCATGCAGGATGCAGCCCCGCCACGGAGCCTGCTGAGCAGGGCTCTGCCATGAGCCGCTCCCTGGCCACGACCTGAGGCCCATGGCTCTGCCCCCCACCCCCGGCTGTGGCCCAAAGGGCAGGGTTCTGTGACACAACCCAGGAATCCTGTCAGTGAGGAGCATCCCACAAAGGAAGACTCGGTCCTTCCTGGGGGCACAGGGGTTAGTCTCAGCACTATGAAGCTGTCTGAGGCCACAGTGGCCTGAGTGCAATCCCTGGCCAGGAAGCATCACTCCACCAAAAAAGACAAATGGTTAGAAAAGATGAATCCAGTAAGGTGACAGAACACAAAATCAATATATACACAAAACTCAGTTGTGTGTCTATACCCTCATTATGACCCATCAGAAAGCATCAATAGGAAAATTTTACAATTGCATCAAAAAGAATGAAATACCTGGGAAAACATTTAATGAAGAAGAAAAACCTGTACACTGAAAAATAGAAAATGCCCATAAAAGAAATGAAAAGCAGAAATAAATGGAAAGATATTCTGTGCTCATGATGGGAATAGTTAATATTATTGAAATCTGCAGACTTCCCAAAGCAAACCACAGGTTCAGCGCAGTCCTGATCACAATTCCCACAGCAGCTTTCACAGAAACTAACCCTCCTGAATTGTGGGGGGTGGCAGGGGGTAGGCTGGGAAACCGAGGCCCAGAAGCGCAGACTCCCCAGAGTGAATGAAGCTGGAGGCATCTTGCTCCCTGACTCAAACTGTGACCTAAATACAAAGTCTCAACTGGAGGTAATTTTGTAGATAATGAAAGTGAGGATTTCAATCCAGGAAGCAGTCAGGATTATTCTGTGCAAACGAAGCCAAACAACAAATTTTAATTCAGCTTCTCAGAAGAGAGAGTCGCTGACATTAAGGATGTACTTGTCCTGGGGCCAGGGCTTCCATTCCAACCAGCCCAACCTAAACAGATGCTGATGCGGGAGGATTTCATCTTCTTTCTGAAGAACGCTTGGAGAGCCCCAAAGGCTGAGCCCATCCTCTCTCCCCGCGTCCAGGGCCACAGAGGGGTGAGAAGACGAGGGCGGGGGCTGCTCAGACCTGGCCTCAGGGGTGGCTTTGTCTCCTGCCTGCTCCACCCGGGTGGGAGGGGGACGTCAGCCCCAGAAAACGCTACCTGCTCCCAAACTCCATGATAAACCCGCTGTGATAACCACACCCAGGCCAATGGCGCAGAAGAACCCGGGAGCCCCAGGTGCCGTCCAGGCCGCAGAGGCGCCGGGAGTGGGGCGCAGGAGGCCGCTCTTCAGGCCCTGGAGGCGGACACAGAGGGTCACGCTCAGGAACGAGCCCGGACCCCTCTATTCCTCAAGGCCCAGTACGAAGCCCAAATGCCCCCCAGTTCTCCACATCCAGCCCTCCCGCCCTGGGTCCTCCCACTGCCCTCCGCGGTCAGGAAGATGTCCTCAGGAAGATGTCCTCACCTCCCCTCGCCTTCGGCTCACCTCCTCCTCTGCCAGCCCGAGGGGCCCCCCGATAATCGCACGGATGACGACTCCTGGCTGGGTCTAGAGAGACCAGGTCCTAGCAGCCCCAACTGCCCCCAAGGTAGGGGAAGCCGGTGAGAGCTGAGCTGCCGCGACTGCACTGTGCGCATGAGTGGTGGTGGTGGGGGGAGACGGCGCAGGTGGCTCAGGCAGGTGGGGGGCGGACACGCCCCGACGCGCCCTCGGTGGCCACGCCCACTGCGCAGGCCCGCTGCAGCCCGACAAACTGGAAAATCAAACTCAAATAGAGGCAAACAGCCCTGCCTTCTCCAAAAATACGCCAACGAAAATTCCAGGAAGCCACTAAAACGGTAAAACGGGTCTATTTGGATTTAAAAACTTGCTCAGGGCCTCCCTGGGGCGCAAGGGGTTAAGACGCAAGCTGTGAAGTTGTCTGTAGCCTCTGCAGCACGAATTCCATCCCCAGCCAGGGATCTACCCACATGGTGCAGCAGATGGCTCCTGTCTCCCCGCTGCTCCCCTCAGCAGTGTATTTCCATCAATCCACCTGTTCTGCTCCCCACTCTGTCTCTGGTGAATCCTCTCACCTCCCAGAACTCTGGCCTGTACCCCAGTTCTTGTATGCATAAATAAATAAATCTTTAAAAAAAATAAAAAACTTGCTCAGGATTGTTTAGCAGTGACCACAGATGCCTCACCAAACCTGCCCAGGAGACAGAATGGGGAGCTCTTCCCCAGCTCCTTCCAACCGCGCTACTATCAGTCTTGGGTGCAGCCAAAGTTCTTTGATCATATTTCTGTCATCATAATTAACACGATCACTTTTCTATTTAATGTAACAGAGCTTTCCACTTGATTTTAGAGCCCAGGCATACAGGGAAATGCTTTTGTGGCTACAAGTCACTGAAAAACCTGACCTCAACCATTAGGAAAATTCTAGTTTACTTAGGAATGCTCAAGAAGGCTGGGACTGTTCCAATCCCAGGTTCTTTCTGTCCCTCTACTCAACTACCATTGGCTCTCTGCCAAGGGAGCACCCTAGGATGTGGAAGAACAGCTGCCCCAGTTGCAGACATCATGGGACAGCCCAGTAGTCACAACCAAAAAAGGAAGACAGAAGCAAAAGAAGTCTTCTTACACCTTTCTTCCCTACCAGGAAGGAACCTATTTCCAAGTAGCACCCAGCAGAATTCCTTTTATGTCACATTGGCCAACATTGGGTCAT